AAGGCTGGTAACCCACCAGCGATTTCTGCGAGTTTGTTCGCGTCCAAACATAGGCCATTTCGCTCTTGGTTGTTTGGACTCGGATTCAAATCGTCTGTTTGCACTTGCCTGTCTGTAGATGTTGATCGTTCTGAAGTAATCCAAAAATTCAATTTAAAAAATATTAATTGTATTACGAGTTTGAATAGGAAATAATGCACACCCTAATGTATATGAAATATACAAAAAATATTGTTAAACACACTTGGCTTAAGCGACATCTGTTGGATGTTTTGTGCACTTCTTGTCGTTGTCGTTAGTAAGTTAGAAGGAATTAAATTGGGAATTTCTTATTTGCTCAAGGGATTCAATGTCATCGTCGAATCAATGATTGTCGATTAGATTAACTATTTTTGAAAATGAGGTACATTTTGGAATTTTTTAACCTATAAATATTGTATTTTGTCTTTACCCGCATCAATAGTAGAGAAGTCAGTGGAGGGGGTAGTCGCAGGTCGTGGCAGAGGCGCAGCACCTACCAAAGCAGCACACACGGCTCCTGGAGCGGCACCTCGACCATGACTGCCGCGCCATTTTGATGTCATCATGTTCGCTCGCACGTTGCGCTCCGGGTGTATTAGGATTATGTACATCTAAAATTCATCAAACTACTTTGTAAATGTGTTCATAAACGAAAATGTATTTGACCTATGATATTTTCTTTAAAAATCGAATGTACACAGTTTATTACTATTACGCTGTCGTCAAGATGAAGCGGTGTACCATATTTGAATCATATTGAAACATAGGTATCATATTTGATATCATATTTTATTTTACATCATATTTGAAACACATCCATCTTTACACTATTAGATTTTGAATATTGCAGTCCAAATCAGTTTAGGATTATGTTTCGAATTTGGTTTCTTTATTTTAAACATGCTTAGCGACTGTTTATACATTTAATTTTTAGAGTGACATTTGTCAACGTCTTATGATAAACCATTCTCACCTTAGGCGCAAATAAGCATGCTAGGGTAACGCTGGCGCTTAGTGATATGGTTACGGCCATACTGGTGACTCGTAGAGGCACGTGACTTGCTGTACCAAAGTACAGAGGTACAAAGGCTAGCCAAATCACACAGGTGGTATACATAGTAAAGCCTGAAAGACATTTATTAACGATCACCTATATAAAACTAATAGTATTACAGGAGTAGACTATTACGGTAGTAATGACTTCATAAATTAAATTTAAAGAATAAGCGACAAAATAAGAAGTAGTGCGCATGCGATGAATTCTAGACATCAATCAAGTCTAGGAACGAACTATCCAGCTATTTGGATCGTTTTAAAATAGTGCTTGTTAAGAACACTCATGGGCGACGGTATTTGGTGAGTGTAGTAGCGGTCTACCGTCAGTTGTCTTTGACTACTACTGGGAAATTAGTGTAAGTTAAATAAGAACAAGATACCATGTACCATAGATATCAAAATGTAATACCAAATGTTTTTTTAAATGTAGGTGACTTACCAATATATTTACTTTCATTGAAGGCTTCGGGTATCTTCCTGGTTAGAACAGCGTACACAGTACATACAACTATCAATACCACAGGGTAGAAAAACGCTATTGTGTATGACGCATCCACGTAAGAGTCACAGACAAGCATATTGTCTTCCCTGGTGGGGTAGTGGTGGATTGCCCTGGCTGGTGAAGCTAGTTGCCATACGACAACTATTACGACCTAGAATAAGGACACAAAATTATTTTTAAAACCTATTGCTACTGCCTTGATCTGGGTAGAATTCAGTTTCATCTTTAATTATTATTGTCATTGGGTGGCGCAAAATGCAAATTTATTTGATTATTTTCAAGTTTTTAGTGCTTTTCATCAGTGGTGGTCGGCGAGCGACTCTCAAGTTTATCTAACCCATGCAAAGGGTTTAAGTAATATAATAGGTTGGGGAAAAAGTTTCTTCGCATTTTGTAAGAAAATTCAAAACATTTTTTAATATAGTTTATTTAACTAAAGTATCTAGGTACCATTTTGTTCGTTAACTTTTTGCTATCATTTAGGTAGGGACATGATCCCATTGCTATAGAAATTTAGGGGCTTCTGATCAAAATACCGCGACAATTGGTTTTGGTAGTCCTCTTATGATGTTAACCTGACACTGCCTAAAGAATTCTGAAGAGACTGAAACAGGTCGATATCTGAAGGTGCAAGGTCAGGACTATACGTCGGATGCATTAACACCTCCCAGCCCAGCTCTCTTATTTTTTACCGAGTGGCTAAAGATGTGTGAGGTCTAACGTTATCATGATGAAAAACCATACTACTTCTGGTGATTAATTCCGGCCGCTTTCTCTCAACTTCTTGCTTTAATCTCATCAGTTGTTCGCAGTAGAGTTCAGAATCGATGGTCCTGCCTGGTGGTAACAGCTCACAATGAATAATACACTTCCAATCCCACCACACACGCAGCATCACCTTGTTGCGAGTTATCCCGGGTTTCGCCACAGTCTGTGAAGCCTGACCGGCCTTTGACTACGACCTTTTTCGTACGTTTTTGTCGTACATGATCCGCTTTTCATCATCAGTTATCAGCTTCTTCTAAAATGGTTCGAATCCATTAAGTCGTAATAAAGAATCAAAAATGAGTAGGTACACGGTTCATTAGGTTTCTTAGGGCCGATTTACATTATCTTAGTGTTTAGGAGAGTATTTTAGTACAACATGAAAGGCAAGTTCTTTAGTGCTTTAGTGCGTTGCGAGTGAACGTTTACATTTCTTCCAGTAGAGTATCATTACAGCGCCACAATGAACGCGCAACGACGTCGGCAAATACGCTCTATTCTACGCAAAATACTAACTGTAGATATGGAACAAATAGAGGACGAGATTTTATTCGAAATAAATAAAATAAATATAAATAATAAATAAAATAGCTTCTTTTAAGGCAGTGTATGCCGAATGCCTAGCCTGTTTGTTTTTGTATAAATTGTTTTTAACGTTCCACAAACATTCGTAAACAACATATTCAGACACAAATTAGATAGTTGTATCTTCCAACCATTTAGCCATCTTTAAAAATCAAAATCACGCACGCGTTTCACGGCACTTGTGCACTATCCTAAAGATTTTACTAAATTACGTGTTTACACACAACGAGGGAAGATCTCGGGGGTTGCGCGGGCGCGGGAGGGGTATCACTTGAAACAAAAATAAAAAGCGATTCTATTTTGATTCAACTTGAAAGTCAAGTAGAACCGTACTAAAGCAAGTAGCGTTTACATGTTTCAACTAAAGTACTATCCTAAAGCACTCTGCTAAACACTAAGATAATGTAAATCGGCCCTTACAGTGAGCTCGTGAGGTACCCAAATATTGAGCTTTTTGTGTACCCAGTTTTTTTTCAAATGCGCCAAAACTGTTTTGTGGTCAATTCCCCGTTCTTCAGTTACGTCGTAACTACTGATATGCCGATCTTGCTCCACTTTTTAAAAATTGGCAATATTCCTTAATAACAAACCAGATACATATAGTATAGCCAAAGAGATTTTATTACAAGTTCATACAATAATTCGAAAAGACTTTTTTCCCAACCTAATATTATGTATTAATTCTTGTTTATATCCGTTAAAGAAGTTTTTTCTCCATTTTTTCTATTTTCTTTTAACATGATAAAACATAAATGTAATTATAACTAAATCCACATGTCCAATACACTACCTGAATCGATACTAAGATAGAACATATCAAGAGCTGCGACTTGGGTGAGATAAGGCAAGGCCTGCGTGCTGAATGTTTGCTTGCTGCAAATATACGGGCAATCCTATTGGTTTTAGTGAGAAGAGCTGCATACACCACGGTGAAACAGAACCCTGTACTAAACCTGTAAGCATATATTTTAGATTAAAAGAAATGCTCTGTATGTAAGAAGGCTCTGTATACGCATGTTGGAGTATACAGGGTGGCCAAAAAGTCGTGGATCAAACGCAAATAGGGGATAGATGAGGTCATCAGCGGCAAAAAATTGTTCTACGGGAGGTCTCTAAGGTCAACCCCTGCAGAGTTATGATTTATTTTGGTTTTTATATGAAAATTGACTTTTTTTTACTAATTCTTCTTAAAATTCGAAAATATCTACATCCTGTATCTTTCTCATAATATCCACTAGATTGGTACTGATGAGTTCTTGCGTTAGACATACTATTTATAGTTGTTTATTGAGTGTATTGAAGATAATATTAAGTTATACGATATAAATTTTTTTCAAATCAAAACTTTTTGTTTATTTTGGACCCCACTGTGAAAAAAAATTACTCTACCGAAAAGTGACCCTATATTACAAGTTTTGGCGCATTTAATATAGATTCTGAAAAGGTATTACACATGGCCATAAGTCGCTCTAATATCTTTCTAGGAGGAAAAAACAACAACGATTCGGACTTATGATAGATCATTTACCTACCTGTGACCAGTACTGTGTGAATCGGACTAGATTCAAAGAATTGGACAGATGGCTGGAGGGTTACTTAGGAATTTGTTTAGACGGTATAGATTAAGTATTATGGTCAGAGTCAGGAATTTTGAGCATATTTTATTGTAAAATATTTTGTTTCCTACAAACAACCATTGAGAAATAATTGTTTTAATACAATTATTATTTCACAATCGTTGTTTGTAATTCTTCCTAGAAAGATATAAGAGCGACTCATGACCACGTGTAATACCTTTTCAGAATCCCTATTAAATGCGCCAAAACTTGTAGTACAGGGACACTTTTCGGTGGAGTAATTTTTTTTCACAGTGGGGTCCAAAGTAAAGAAAAATTTATGATTTGAAAAAATGTTATATCGTATCACTTAATATTATCTTGAATACACTCAATAAACAACTATAAATAGTATGTCTAACGCAAGAACTCATCAGTACCAATCTAGTGGATATTATGAGAAAGATACAGGATGTAGATATTTTCGAATTTTAAGAAGAATTAGTAAAAAAAAGTCAATTTTCATATAAAAACCAAAATAAATCATAACTCTGCAGGGGTTGACCTTAGAGACCTCCCGTAGAACAATTTTTTGCCGCTGATGACCTCATCTATCCCCTATTTGCGTTTGATCCACGACTTTTTGGCCACCCTGTATAAGAGTATAATATAGCTTATGTTTTTCAACCCCTAAGTGATTTATAATTGTCGAACTTTTGCAATTATGTAATATTTATTTACCTTTGCAAAGAACACAAGAAGTCAGTTGGGCGTAGAACTAACGCAAATGTAACCAAGTAGCACATGAGTATTCCGGTGAGTAGCACAAATGACAGCTCTCTGCCACTCGCACGAACCACTGGGGTACTACTTCGGAGAACCCACAATATTACTATTAAACTGAAAATTAAAATATATATATTTATTGTGGGGGTGGCGAAACAATCTTAGATTCCATTTAAGTTGGTATTTGTGTATATTATTACATTTAAATACACCTTTGATATACTTTGTTAGAAAAACAGTGAAATAAGGTACCTACTCTAATTGCCCATTGTGAAACTAGATGGCGCAATATTAAATGTTTTTCTTACATGGTCAATAAAATCCCGAAAGCAGAGAATGCCATAGCTCCGATAGCTGCAGGTGATGAAGCCTGTAGATACAGTTCTGGTATTTGGGCGCAGCGGGTTCTCATAAGATCCGGTAGTGTTCCACGGGGACACTCCACACATGCTGTCTCCGAATATGGCGATCTGATCTATAGTATTAGTACTACATTTAATTATTATCAATAAATGCCTTTTTATGTTTTCCTTATTTTTATTGTGTTTTTGTAAATTTTTTTGAGTTTTTTACTTTAGTCGAATATTTTCTTTTTCTTTTCATATTTTCGTAAAGTAGTAGCCATGCCAATTCAATATTGTACTTTTTGCTTATCATCATATAAGATTATTTCTAAAATGTAGCTTTTTGATAAAATTCCTTCTCGGTAATAGACATTTTTAAACCTACGAAATTCCAGAATATTGCATTATTGTTTTGTGTTTGACTTCTATTGATTCACAGTATACCAAGTACCTCATATTGCGTACAGTTGAAGCAATGCCAGCAGCAGCTTTCTCCCTCCACGTACTGCTTAGCCTGGCCAAGCTCACATTCCGCACTGCATACTGACTCGGGTGGTTTTCGTTCATCCCATTTAAATTGGATCTCTGGAAATAGTTGACCCGCTTTTAGAGTTAAATTCTATGTAACTTTTATGTTAAATTAGTAGACAAAAGATTTCCTTTACTTTGTAATAATTGCACAACAGTACCACTATTAGAAATAGATATTGTTTTCAAATTAGTTTGGTTTCTTGTGAATTGTAATGGCATTTTTATTACTTTTATGTGTATTTTGACTATATTTAAAAAAAAAATTGTCTTTTTTTTGTTGATAGATATGCCCAGTATGAACTATAGTTTTGTTAAAGAACTATAAACATCCTTTTGTATAGGCTTACAATGATTATTATTTAAAAAAATGATGAAACAAAAATTACCGTCCATAATCAATTCCAATTCTCCATCGAGATAATTGCCAACTTTGAGCCATCGATACACTCTAGGAGAGACTTGCTTGAAGTGCAAGATGTTATACCGAGCCGGTCCATCACCATATTGATCAAAGTGGAACTCATCGCCGCTTAGACCTATTTTATGTAAAAAGATATGTCTAAACAAAGTAGCTTCTAAAAGTATTTACCGGTAGAAGCTAATGCAGGATTCAATTACGTTTAATTCTTACTATTATGTATTGTCAAGTTTGTAGTAGAAGAGTGTTCCGATTCGCACGCATTACAGTAACCGTAAGCATATGCTTGTCAGTTTGGTAGTTGGTATTTATTTATTTATTTATTAATACTTCGTTGCATTACAATATAAAAATTGAACATAATTAAATGAAAAGGAGTGCAACTGGCCGCCTTATCGCTTTCAAGCGATCTCTTCCAGGCAACCACTGTGAGAGAGAAAAAATAAATTAAATTAGATAAGGTAGGCACGAAGTGCAAAAATACATATCAAGTACATATATGTAGTTATTAGGAAAAAAAAACCGGAACAAAAACAAACTAAACAAATAAAGGATACATGAAAAATAAAAAGTGCACATGAATCACGATAATTTAAGAAGTTTATTAAGTTACTTAATATAATGTCATAAATTTGCACTTCCACTCGATGCTCTATTAGATTTTTTTATTATTTAAAATGTCTATTGTATATTCTTTGTATGGTAAAACGTAATGCTAAAACGTAACTAACGTAATGCTAACGTAATTGCTACGTAATGGTTTACCTAAAATTTATACTGGTCATATATAGCTTAGCTTAGATATGTTATACAAATTTAAATAAATTTCTGCTACAATGAGCCACTCGTTGTCGGGTAATATTTAGTTAAAATACATTATTTATCGTTCTATTTAAATACATATTTATTAATTGTAATCCATGGTGGCGTAAATAATTTGGGTAAAGAAGCAGGCATTTTGGGTTTCTGTGAGGGTTTCTAATGGGTAGGGTACAGTGGTACACATAACACTCTACTAGTGCAGAGGTATTAGCACCACATTAAAAATATAAATGAACCCAAAATTTTTGTTAACTTATGAATATCCATTGACTTCGATTACCTGTAAATTGCACTTGTCGCAAATATCGTAGTAGTGTAGGTCCGTTGACAGGCCGCATCGCTTCACATAGCCCTGGTCGGCCTCCACAAAGGTCTTTATGCATATCCCTGAAAAAGTTATGTATCTTTAGGAAAATTTATAAAAACCCGCTAATTAGAATTGAATTAAATATAATGTAGGATATGTCTGAGAGACTGATCTCTTTTCACATACTACACACACTTTTATAGCATTATAATTACTGATTTATTTTTTGATTAAAATGGAAATAATTTTTAACAATATAAATATACACTAGTTCTATATAAATAGCGGCTGCATTTAAATTCGTTTTTACCTAATAGCAAACACAAATGCCCATACTGCATCAGCAACGAACTGCAATTGGGCCTCAAATTCGGTATTTTCCGTTGACAGTTTCTCCCGTCCAGTACAAGGTTTATAGTTTGTATTGTATGGTGTTCTTGGTGCTCCAGGGTAGCGGCAACGAAACTGTTCCTCCCAGAACTCTGTCAATAAAACCAATGTAAATCAGCATCACAAATATATATAACAAGGTGCAATTCAATTCCTATAAACTAAATTTGCAATCAGTCATAAATCAGTTGGAATTTCATTAATAATAATTAAATAAAGCACACCCTTTAAAATAATCATAGCAATTACACAGCTAATGTAATAATTAAATGGAGCGCTGCGGTTTACCGAATATTTGCTTACATTGTTACAATAATTGGTAATACGGTTTCAAAAAAAGATAGGTTATATAGTAATGTTTCTATGATTTAAATAGGCGTTTTTGTATATAGAGAATTAGTTGGGCGAAATGAATTCGAACCGAAACGTGTTCAAGTCTACATACAAACTCGACTAACCCAACTAATATCAATTTTGGTTTCTTGAATTAATGTGAAAAAAGTAAAAAAAAAAGTATTAGAAAAATGGGTCTTTTGTACTAAATAGGTCCAACAAAATAAATCTAGGTAAGTAATCAGTTTGATATCGATATTGAACAATTACTTAATTGGCATGTATTAAAAATATTTTACCGACAAACCACGGATTCCTTGCGTTGTTCTCCGGTGTAAGGCTGAGAAAGTACTCCTTAAATCCTATCACAGGGTTGGCCTGGGGTTGGACACTAATGGTTCCCTCCACAACAGGTTCGTTGCCAGCGGCAACTAGTGCCCTGGCACTCCATCCATCGGATCCCACCCAGCCGAAGATGTTTTCTGCTTTCTTACGCTGAACTGCTGCCATTACCCCAGCTACTTCTTGGTCCGATCCAAATACTATTACGCCTGAAATAATATCATTTTAGTATAAGCCGAGTTAAATTTAGCACACATTGTTAATGTATATATGTTATTAATTAGAAGCGGACAAATGTTAGCCTTGAAGCCAAAATGACCCCCTTTAGTTTTTCCCACACTCATAAATTGTAATATAACAATCTTGGTTCCGATAATGTCCAAAAGGTTGAATACACTTATATTGAAGGTAATTGTTTTGACGCTTAAATAAGCGTCAAGTAAGTTTTTCCCCACTACCCCTAATTTTATGTTAGTTATCACAATTAAATGTTTTTCACAAATAAAGCCAGACCAGATCTTGAGACCCTTCAAGCTGGCTTGAAGAAGGGTGTCAAGCCTTGAGACCCCTTGACCAGCTTCAAACAAAAAGTTTCATTCACATCTCTCCAAAAACCGTCACCGAACTTAACTCCCGGCATTTGTTTAAAAATCTCAATATTAAGTTGCAGTATTATAAATAAAACTAAATTTGGTATTTTCGCTTGTGCAGACCTTTTGAAAATGCAATTATATAAAGTCCGAGTCCTTTTTACTCCTATTTGTCTAGAGAAGGTTTATAAATTTATTATAGCATTTTTACATTTGCCACTTCGATTAGGATTCCTAGATGGAAAAGTCGTGCTTGGATAAACATAATACTCTACACGTAGTATTACAACAACGGAGGATTCGTTGGGTTTTTGGTCCCTTTTATTCTGGTGTATGTCACTGAACTTCTCTCAAACGACTGGACCGATTTTGATGAAATTTTTTGTGTGTGTTCAAGGGATCTGGGAATGGTTTAGATTCACAAATCAGCCCGGCAGATGGCACTGCAGTCGGTACTTTCATACTTTGCTTAATATCCTAATCGCTTTAAATATCATGCAGGACAACGTCTGTGGGGTCCACTAGTAATAAAATACAGCTTTAACCTCTAGCACGCGGTCTTGATAAAAGTCGTTCTACAATATCATCGTATCCCTTCTCATCAGCTGCACCAGAATCTTTAGCTAGTCTTTCTTTTACCGCAATGCAGATGTCATTTCTAGCAAGCAAAGTCTCCAATTCTTCAAATGCCTGAAAATATAACTTTCTTAAAACAGCAATCTAAGTTTAGAAACTTTGCAATGACAACGTTAGTTTTGGTATTCTTCAACAGTATTGTAAGTTCTGTGAAAATTATCTTGCTTAAGAATTTCGAGATGTCAGAATCATACCCTATTTTTTGTTATATTTTTCTGTTCATTGAAATATGCATTTTTTTAAATACTTTGGGTTTTCTGTGTAATTGTGCTTGTGTTTACAGCTTAGTCATGTTAAGGCTGTGTTATTATATTGTACATACTTTGGCGAGAATCCGAAAAATCAAATCAATTCTTGATCACTTTTTACAATTATTTTAAAATATTAAAAGGATTTATGCATTCATTTATTGTGATAAAAAAGTAATTATTATTACGAAGCGCATAATATTTAAAAAAATATATAATTTTATCGTTCCTACCATACAAAACTAATATAAGATTAATTTAATTATTTTTATTATTACTTTATAGGTTAAGAAAATTGTAAATACTGTATTTGTGTACTTAAATAAAATTTAAAAAAAAATATATTTATCAACTATAAACCTTTCCCCTATAATTCAACTCGAAAAGTATGATTTATAACCTGCGAATTGAACTCTATAGTTCAGTGTATTTAGCTCAGGATAATTATTATTTTATTTATGGTTTTACAATGTTATTACCTTAATACCGTAGTTGGACTCTTCATAAATTATAGATACGTATCTCCAGCCAAGAATTTTCACGATTTCCACCATCGCCTTGACTTGATGAAGATCTGATGGTATTGTTCGTGTGAAGTACTCAAATCGGGCTTTGTTGGAAAGCTCCGGTGACGTTGAGAAAAAAGAAACCTGAATAGAAAAATAATTTTAAAATTGTATTGGTGTCGACTAATAATAGCAACGTTGTCTGTTTTTTTTTCAAAGAAATCTCAGCGGCACTGATAAAATGTTAACATTCATACTGAAAAATAGGTACTTAGAAATCTAGAACTTCTTGCGCCGCTTGAGAAGACTATCTTAAGAAGCGGATTGTTAGTTACATATGGGAATCTTGGAAGTTTTTGTTCGTCGTTGAAAACATGAAGTTAGGTTAGTTAGCCAGATTACTGACCTTCTACACATTGTTTTTATTGTACTAAATACAAATTGTAGTAAAAATTAAATTAAGTTCTTAATTAAGTAACGTAAGATTTTCAAATGAAGAAGATTTTAACTACCTACAAAGTTCTAATGGCAAAATGTCAAGTTAATAAAGACGCTTAAATGAAACTTGTAGTAAAAATTGGTTCTTACTTTAATTAACATTTTATAGAGTTTTCCGAGCTTTTCTTCGCGTTCCTTTGTCGAATAACTTTTAAATTTAACTTGACGTAACGTCTTTTTCACTTTGTTTTCTGCTTACAAAAATGATTAAGGTTTTAAACGTTAAACTTGTCACCTTCAGAATGACGTAAATACCCTTTACTAAGTAACATAACATTGTCTACAATATACTGTGTATGCTTTTAATTGCAGGCAATTGCTAGTATTAGGATACCTTCGTCTCTCACAATAAGAAAAGACAAGGATGTCAAACTTACACAAAATCTTGAGCTGAGCGCAAATGCTAGAGTTTAATAAGTAAACATGGCTGGACCAATCCTGATTGTATTGGGTTTGTCAACCTAATAAAAACATATTCTATATATAATAAATAATAAGATTAGATTGACAATTGGAACGGCATCCGACGAAAAGCAAATCGGTCCGCAAGGGTAGGACGTAAAAAAAGACCGCATCCCATCCTAATCTGCTGACTTGTAGTCCCACACGGTGACAGGCCGCGAAGCAAGGTTAAGAAAAAACTAAGGTATCCAAACAACATCCATAACAACTTTAGTATCCTTACCATACATACTAGTTATTACTTATAGTCTATAAAGGCACTTAATATCGTACCTGTGGTATCTTAAATAATCGCAGTAGATTAGCAACTTGGACTGACGTCACACTGGAAGCTGCTCCAACCACACCTGATATCACTTTCCTGACAGCTGATGCGTTGCAGGCGTATTCTTCGTCGTCAATATTGCTGATCGATCCTGATGATAAACCGTTAATAGTAACTAGCGACCTCCTACTAGTTGGTATAGCACAACATACTAAGATAAAGTTATTTTAAATAACATGTGAAATACCACAAGACCACTATATGAAATAGTAACAAATCAGATTTACGACAGAGTAGGGTTGGCCTAGTGGCTTTAGCGCGCGTCTCTCACCTTTGAGGCCGTAAGTTCAAACCCCGGCTGTGCACTAATAAACATTCTGTCAATGTGCGTATATAACACTCGCTCGTACGGCAAAGGAAATTCTCGTGAGAAAACCAGCATGCCTTAGACCCAAAAAGTAGACGGCGCGATACAGTTAGCCTTTTAGAAAAACAAATGTTCACCAAACAGATACAGAAATTTGAGACCCAGACTTTAAAAGTTTCAAATTTTGGCATAAATTAAAAATGAGATGTAGATAGGGGTAGTAGATAAGTGTTGAAAGCAGTTTCTGTATGGCAAGTGATAACAAGAAGCATTCACTTATTATATCCTACAAACAAAATACTATGGAGTGATAAAAAACACAGTACAAAAAAAAATACACTACGAACATGAAATACAATATCAAAAACTATAACAAGTACTTTGATATTGATTATACTATGTTATAATGTTTATTCAATATAAAAAATCTACTCAAAGGCAATTTATTCATCAATTTTTGAGTTAACAAAATGTGTAACGCAAACAAAAACTGTTCCTTTGTAGTTTTAAAAATACAGTTTTACCGCTGGAGTTGAGGTTAATTTTCTCCCAACTAAATGTAGAGTTTTGTTATTTTGTTCGAGATTTTTTCCTCCTGGGTGCTATTTTTAATAATAAATGAAACAGCGTTGAGGCATATTATGCTCTCGGTATTTTTACGGTGATTTTTAGTAATCTTTTACTTAAGTTCCGTTTTCGTAAATTATTAGTATAGGCATGAATTGCGTATTGGTGGTGTATTATACATATTTTTATCTAAGTTTGTGATGTAGTAGGAAAATTCATCCAAAGCTTTGAACATAACAAAAATAAAAAAATATATAATATAGAGTTTTTTACCTTTAATAAAGTCTAGTGCCATTTCCAGCCCCCTGGTATCACTATCACAGTCATCCAGCACTAGAGCTCCAAGCCTGACACCAGGTGGTGGTAGCCCAGCTCGCACAGCTTCATCCAGCGCAAAAAGCATAGTTTCCAATGCCTGCACACCTCCCTGAGCCATTAGAGGACCACAACGCGCCGCGCTGGTCATACCTTCGGAGCCTGTTGCTCGACCGTGTACCTTTACACAAATAAACAGGTTTTATATGGTTCTGGAAAAATAAAATGTCTACCTATTATGTACAAAGTTTTGGGTATTAACAAAATTTTGTTGATTTTTGTTTGCACTGAAACTTTCTTGGTAAGCCTCTTATTGAAACAGATTAGCTCCTTTGCCTAGTTAGCAAATGAAATATTAAACCAATTAGTACTGACTATATTGAACTAGCTTAAAATTATATGAAAGCTCAAACAACACAATGGAGTGGGTGGAGACTTTAAATAATTAGACTATTCAATTGTTAAAACGTCAGTTAAGAAACTAATAAATCTTCTGTGTTATGATTATAAAATTTGCAAGTCAAAATATACCTATATCAACTAATATAAAAGTAAATAAAATTAATAAATTTGTCACAAAAACTCTAAATCAGATTTCAACTTAATGTGTACAGAACGTGGGAAAAGTTTAACTTTGTCGGTGACACATTTAATTACACACATACGCTGTTATTAGATTGCGAAAAGCGAAGGCAATTACTGTGTAACGTTATTACAAAACCGAATAAATACAAAATTAGTACATATAGGAGATAAATGATAAAAGTTTCCATAGTCATTCAAATCAAGAATTTTAATCCTCTTCGATTCAAAATCAGGAGTTCTTATCTTGGTTGAGTTTTTTGTAATTATGCGCATTATAAACAACATCACTGTCTTGGCGTGTCTGATGTTTATAATGCTTATATTATTTGGTTTACTTATCATGAAATCATTAGGGTAGCCAGTCGAATTAATAAGCAAAAAATCAGATATGAGTGGTTTTCTTTTCTGTCTGTCTTAATTAGGTGTATAAATTAGTTTAATATTATCGCAAATATCTCTTTCAAAGCATATTTAGCAGAGAGCGACATAGATTTTAATTTTTTTTTAATATTCTAAAGTATGTGTGAAATCGTCACAACAGGTCTTATTATAAAATATGGACTATTTATATTACTGCATGACTTTACACAAAAAAAAAAACAACGTAACCATGGCAAAAAATGCTTTAAGTGCCAACAAATTTCTATAATTTTATTATATTTTGTTGTGTGCTTGTATTATCTTGTATGTTTTAATTGTATTTTTTAAATTTCTATTTTTTTGTGAAACTTATGTTTACGTTAATATTGTCACACATTTTAGATGTAAGATTTTGTAAAATAATTAGTAGATTAAGTACTGTGTGTGATGTCGTAAGCTGAATAACTAAATATAAGCCAGCGTAACCAGCGTCTGCGTAAAATATTTGTATAAACAAAGTTATTTACGATGTATAAATTATATACAAATTTTATACACAAATACTCGATTAAGTCTATCATTTGTCATTAATTTTAGAACATTAGAATTGTAATTAATTCTTGAGCTCTGTTCTGATTACCGCACTGTGAAATTGGTCAAAGAGCCGCTAATACAATGACAAGAACTGTCAATAGCCGAACAAAGATAAATGGGGATCCTCTGTCGAGTTTCATTCAGGGCTTGCATTGAATGGCTCAATTAATAGTTACCACCCATTATTAGATTGAAAATTACAGCCGAATTCATAGACGTGCTTTATATTATCTCTAATAGTAGATTATTATTAATAATTCACACTGCTAACAGCTGCGTATGTTAATCCAATTACTTAACACTGATTTAAGTTTAAGAAAGATTTGCTTTAGTATATAAATTTATTTTTTACATTACGCAAAATGAATGGTGTTTTATGATTGAAAACTTGGGCCGCGAGATACTGTGATCCTTTTTACTCGTATATTAAAAAGGATATGTTCGGGTTACTAGAAAATATCATATTAAACATACAATTAGTATAATATAGCTCGAAGCATAGTACTCGAGCGTCCATTGTTAAAATACTATGAAAGGGTAATGGTAATTAATAATGTTAGTGGTAATTTAGTAATTAAATACCAAGTAATATTATCTTTCAATGTATCACATCGTTCTATTATAGCTTTTAATATAGTCCTGGTCTGTGCTAGCTCAATAGTAATGTAATATCATAATTTAAAATATGTGGAATATTTATATTTATTTTATGTTTGCTTACGCAATTAGCCTTACTACACAACATCATATTCTCAATAATAATAAAAGGCAGAATATATTTTATTTTGTCTTCATCTTTTTACATAAAACAAATATTAATGATTGATTCTTTCTTATAAGCATATCACGATTCATTTAAGTTGTTAAATGAAAACAGTGGCGCTACTACCTTTTTTGGTCTGGGCTTCAGATATCTGTATGTTTCGTGAGCATTTGTTTTATCTAATAGCCAAGTAGTTGATCAGCATTTTGTACCTGACACACGCCGTTGACTAGGGTCTAAGGCATGCGGGTCTTCTCACGATGTTTTCCTTCACAGTACAAGTGTTAAATACGCACATAGACAGAATGTTTATTGGTGCACTGCCGGGGTAACCCTACGACCTCAGAGGCACGCTGAAGCCACTAGGCCAAAACTCTTTACTTATAATAAATATAGTTTTTAGGTATTCTATTACTATACATATTATAGTAAACCTTATAATATGTTTAATAGAATTCATTTTCTATTTTATAAAACTTAAGAAACGCCTGTGAAATGAGTGAGGTCAACTTATGTTGCTAGGTCACTGGTTTCTGAAGGGTTGTGAGCGTGCCTGTGTGTAATTATATACGTACATCGTAATTTAAATATCAAGGTAATTAATTTAAATAAGTCCAAATAAATTTTCTTTTATAAATTGTGTTAGTTTGAAGCACCAAAAGTACTCAATGGAGCATGGGCAGTCGATATGCAGAATGCGTCTGCGTTTGTTTTTTGTTTAAAAAATCGCGGTGTATATATACAATCTTAAACTTTATAAGGGATAGGGGGGCTAACGAGCCTACGGGACAACCAAAAAGGGCTATCATCACAGGCCTTTAAGGGAGAATTATGCTCTTACTTTAAACAGTTGGAAGTCGTATCTCCCAGGAAGGCCACCCACCGGGAGTCGATTCCACAGTTCGCTAGTTCGCAAAAGAAATACAAATACATTGGTACTAGGTTATTGTTTCATGGTACATGTATCTCCTATTAGAGTATAGCCAAAAAATTTATATTTGTAATAATAATAGCCAAAAATGTTTTGCATTTTGAAAAATAAATATTCATTTAAATTATAAATCTTTGCATTAACATCATTATGCCGTAGTTGATGACTCAATTCAAAATTTCAGCTTGACTAAGTTATTGTTTGACATGGTAACGAAGCTTGCATGCAATTTTCTTTTATAGACCATAAAAGGTCTAAAAAACAACGCCCTATAAAAACAGAATAAAAAGATATCGGTCCCGGAAGATAAAATCTGTGAATGTAAATTAACCTAACATTTTTGACGGAAAATGTGTCATATTATCATATCTTCAATAATGTTATGGTTACGCCGTTTTATCATAACCATGCCCTTGCTGGAGGGCATCCAGCCTGTTTGTTTTTTGTATTGAGTTTTCAACATTATTCTCCAGTTTAGCAGAAACGTATGCACGTGATAGTTTTTTAACGAAGATTGTAATCCTTCTAACCCTTATTGAACACCTTATATTTTGAATAAAACCCTGAAGGGTTTTGTCTTTGATTAACATAACTTTTATTCATTTAATAAAACACTATTTTGACCGGATTGAAGTTATTATTATTATAAATTTACAACTATTTAACATAATTTTAAATTTATCCGACGTTTCGCGTGCTTTACAGCGTGCGTGGTCACGGTGACTGAAGACAAAAGATGTTGAATGTCAAAAAGTATCACAGCTGCAGAGAAAGGGTTGGAACCCTCCATCTTTTAGTCGATACCAACTCCGGGGAAATAAATACAGATAATGCAACTTTCTCTGCAGCTGTGATACTTTTTGACATTCAACATCTTTGTCTTCAGTCACCGTGACCACGCACCTGTAAAGCACGCGAAACGTCGGATAAATTTAAAATTATGTTAAATAGTTGTAAATTTATAATAATACATAACTTCAATCCGGTCAAAATAGTGTTTTATTACCCTGAAGGGTTAATTTTTGTGTTTTATATAATGTGGGGGGGGGGGGGCAAACGAACCTGCGGGAAGCCCAAAAAGGGCAGTCATCACAGCCCATAGAAGCCTATTTTTAGTGGGTGCGTTGCCGGTTTTGAGGGAGGAGTATACTCGAATTATGAACATTTGGAGGTCGTATCTCTCAGGGAAGACCCGTACCGGGAGTCAATTCCACAGTTCGCTAGTTCGCAAAAGAAAATGCCTTGTGAAACGGACTGTGGAAGACTTCCAGCCATTAAGGTCATGTTGGTGAAATTTAGAAAAAAAACAAAATAGCTAATCATCTAACCACAGAGCTGAACTCGGTCAGCGCTAAAACATGGGATTCGTCGAAACGCCTTGTCTAACAAAAAAAAGTATTTGAAAATAAAATTTTTTTGTATCACACAATATTTAAAAAAATAGCCTTTAAAGTCCGCTTCTTTCAAACTATAGTTGAAGCAGTTTTACTGTTATACTATAAGACCGAGGTATATAAAATATATTTGAGTCTATGTATTTTTTTTTAATTTTCATTTGTGTACTGTTGCAGATAATTGGCGTCATACAGGCTATATTAGGATAATTTTGTGTATATAATCATTATGCCTTTGAACATCTAGTAGTTTGTCGCGCGACGTGAAAGTAGCGTAAAGGATTACATACATTTACTTCTGTTGGAGTAAAGACGTTATTAAGCGAGAAAAAAATTACCATGAAATGATTGATACATGATACAGGGTGGCCAAAAAGTCGTGGATCAAACGCAAAAAGGGGATAGATGAGGTCATCAGCTGCAAAAAATTGTCCTACGGGAGGTCTCTAAGCTCAACCCCTGCAGAGTTATAATTTATTTTGCGTTTTTATAAGAAAATTAACTTTTTTGACTAATTCTTATTAAAATTCGAAAAAATCTACATCCTGTGTCTTTTTCATAATATCCACTAGATTGGTATTGATGAGTTCTTGCGTTAGACATACTATTTATAGTTGTTTATTGAGTGTATTGAAGATAATATTAAGTTATACGATATAATTTTTTTTCAAATCATAACTTTTGTTTACTTCGGACCCCGCTGTAAAAAAAAAAATACTCTACCGAAAAGTGACCCTATATTACAAGTTTAGGCGCATTTAATAGGGATTCTGAAAAGGTATTACACTTGGCCATGAGTCGCCCTAATATCTTTCTAGGACGAAAAAACAACAACAACGATTCGACTTGACTCGATGATAGATTATTTACCTACCTGTGACCAGTGCTGTGTGAATCGGACTAGATTCAAAAAATTGGACAGATGGCTGGAGGGTTACGTAGGAATTTGATTAGACGGTGCAGATTTTTTTTTCTCTCCAATTAAACATTTATTTATTTTATAAAAATATAGCGATAAAAGTCAGAGGTGGGATATATTTCTTAACTATCACTAGGGCCAACAGGAAACCAGCGTTACTTAGACACAATGTTAGGCACAGAAAGCTGAACATCGATCACATCTTCATCATTATTCGACACATGCATATACTGCAAAAAATAACCTTATGCTGTCATCTGAATGCGCAACTGTCAATAGTTTCAGTCCCTCATGAAAGAAGCTGACTTATATAAAAGAATATGATCAAAGAACAGTGCATTTGAGGATAAGGGTAATGTTATTTTTTTGAATACGAGAGCCTACTTAACGCAAAGTCTAGACTCTAAAACTACATCTAAAAGATGGGTATTGGGACGCCACCGAATTGATAATTGTCAATTAACATCACTAGGTAAGTATAAGTTAAAGGTAAGTTAAGTTTTATTTTGTTGTGATATGCCATATATTAAGAGTCAATAATTGATAAGCTTCTCGTTTTCTTTCTTTTTAGAATAAAAATTCTTGCCATATGCATGCTTCATAAAACAGTTTACGACTATTACCAATTTCGTACTTTGGATATCAATGCATAACGTTTGCTTACAGGCGCCACAAAAGAACAGTTTTCTAATACTAAATTTTAAATAAATAATGTTAAGTGTAAACGATTTTTTGTTCCGTAAAAGCGAATTTTCTGTTAAATGTTAACCAATCAAATGTATTGTTATTCAAGAGCGGTCTCTCGTCTCTACTTTGATGTCTCAACGGCTAGATGACTGTGTCCTCCAATTATTTTTACGGGAAGTGACTCTCCCCTTTACTTGATGCCGTTTCAGACTATTCAAGAATTATACGATTTGTAAAAATTTGTAAGTTATAAGTAAGTAATAAACTAAGTAGAAAAACTAATAAGATAAAGATTAAAGTTGGTGTCTGGTAGATAGTGGTGGCCCCAGCTGGTGCTTTCCTCGCTCAACGAATAAGTATCGTAATACAGCGTCGAAATGCCAGCATTAAAGATACACTGCCACAGGGACCAAACTGTTTAAATTTTTTATTGAACCCTTTTTAATTATTATTATTGTTACGATGTAAGTTGTAAATACTAATAATAAGGTTATATTTTAATTAAAAAAACTTAAATAATACTGTATATTATAGTAGAACAGTATTTCTTTGCAGTCCAAACTCACACTAATGTCTTGAATACAGGTTATTTGAGTTAAAACAACACAAAAACTAAGCTAAGGTCTGCCTAGCGGGCATCGACAAGATTTGTGTCACGAATAAAAATAGCGTTGTCAGATGTCTTTACGACTAGCTAAATTTAGTTAATACATATTTGTTAAATTAGTATTTGGTTAAATTATTTTATTTTAAACTTAGTAAAATCTAGTTAAATTATTTTAGTATTACTTATATTTAGAGAGAATTAAATTAAAATTAGTTCTATAAACTAAAGTTCTACAATTTAGGTCAAAGTACTGTTACGCTGAAGTTCTTATATTAATTTAAAGTCGAGTTAGTGCAAAGACGTGTGAATGTGATAATTTTGTATTTATTCTCAAATAAACGCCATTTTACATACATCTTATAAGAATATCGGAACCAAAATTATGACGGTAAAAAAAACATAGGGCTAAGTAAACTTATTCCAAAATATGGGTTGTAGGTGATCTTACATTTTTCTATAGCAAAAGACAATATAATTTAATTTGTGTAGGAAAGTCCACGAATGGTAAGTTATTATTATATTAGACGAAGGTAAGTAATACTAACGCCCTTTACCAGTAAGCAACAAAAATACCAAAAATATAATGTGTATTACTAACACTTAATAAGTTTTTTAATTTGTGGGATCGAATTGGTATTGAAAACATTGTCAACAGATGAAATATACATTATAACCTAAACGTAGTACCGTAGTACGTTAAGTGAAATATTTGATTGTAAATAATATCTGTATTTTTACGAACGAAGCGGCTACAATTAGTATGAAATAATTTTAACAAGGAAATCCATGCATTTAGTGCATGGTACGTGACAGGTGCTAAGCCAAGTGACCTAAATATAACGCCAAGTTAACATAGCTATGTTAACTTGGCATTATACTACTTCCTATATTTCCCGTCAAGTGTTAGCGGCGCTTTACGCTACGGTTTAATATTAAAGTATGATTTCTTAAATAAAATCTACTGTTGTTTATTATTAAAATTAGTCGAAGAGTTTTGTAGTCTTATGGATTTCTAAACATTTTTTCTATATTAATTTGTCAGTAACTTTACTTAGTAATATTAATTTAATTTAATTAATTTTTTGTAAATTATTGTCAACAAGAAACAGTAAAAGTGATTCGAGAGATGAAAGAAACGTCTTCTTTAAGTCAACAAGTCCCGAAGTAATGCATGTACTTCAATACATTTCACATTTACTAATAATTTTGAGAAGAAACGGTTTGATGGATCCAAACAAGACATATATGCTTCAGAATACGAAACTAGGATTTATCTGCGGCTGCTTGAGCACGCAAGATTATAAAAAAATCAAAGTTTATTCAGGTTGGAAAGAAAGCTCACTTGCATAAAATAGAAGGAACAAAAAAATTTAGGTTTGACAAAATAAGAGTCCAATAAATTATGTGTAAATGAAGAATTATATATGTATGTCTGAAGAACGACCAACGACTTATTTAAAAACGCACAGATAAGTTATTTCAGATTTTAATTCTAAATCATTTAATTTATAGAAAATGTTTTACGACACCAACGTAATGAGATCACGATCAATTTCGTTCGTATTTCAGCAAAGCAAGTCACTGTGCCATTAAGGCTTTAACCGGATTAGCAACCTCATTTCATGGGTTAATTGACAAATGACATGCGATAAATACAACAGTGTAATGTAAATAATCATATATAGGGTAAAGATCGGAGAAATTTTTATAATCAGAAATCAGAGTCAAATTACTAAACCTAAACAAATTTTTATTATAAGAACTTTATACAGTTTCTTGATTCCTTTGAATACTTAATACAGCAATTCTAACAGAAATTCTAATGTAACCTACCATCATTAATCCACCAAGAACGATATCACCTTCAACAATTGCAGCATATTTCATCGGCCATACTGTTTCATTTTCTGTTTTCTTTTTCACTATTAATCTATTTTGAGGATCGTTTTTGTTTTCCACACTTTTCGACTTCCGCGATACTTTCTTCTTCGATTTTACCTTTTTAACTGGTGCTTCAGTAGAGGATTTCGTTTTCCTTTTTCCAACATTATTAACTTTACGGTTTTCTGTATATGGTTTTGGAGTGATTACAGATAACGCTGTTGTCCCTTTAATTTTATCATCTGTTACTTTTTCCTTATTCAAAGTATTTATTTCACTGCTTGGTTCAGTTGAAGGGGAAATAGGATCTGCTTTACTATTAAGTACAGACATACTATTGGGTTTTATTGTATCTGTAAAAGCAAACGCTAACTGCCTTTCAGAAAGCACTTCACTTGAATGCAACGATGAAGCACTCGGATGCAACATTTCTTTTGCTTTTTGCTTCCTTTTAAATAGCTTGGTTAAATCAAAAGGACCAATGAGAGAATGCGCTTCTCTTTTTATTCTATAGTACTCATTCACTGAGTAATATTCTAAGGTGTCCGAAAAATCTGAGTTTTGGTTGATGTTTTCAATAATGTTTGATATATTATAGTATGGACCTATGAATACGTAATGGTGGTCGACGGTGGACGTAACTACCAATTGGCAGACGACCACCAAAGCCACGGCTAGCATTTTTATCCTTCTAGCATTTCAATTATTTTAACACACACTGGCTCACTTGTTTTATTTTGTTTATCGTCATTGTTCTGTTCATTTTGCACCTCGTAGTTTACGTAACTACACCTCTATTAATTTATAAACACATCATCCTAGTGAAGTTTATGAACATTCGAAAACAAATATTATGAATCTCCTTCTTTCCCAATATACCTTTTATTATCAGTTTTACTTAAAACAAAAACTATTATAATTTTGCCACGTAAATAATCAAGCGTAATTCCATGGAGAGCAAAGTTTTCCCGCGCTATTACCCGAACAGCGATGACGTCACATGTCGATTCGCTACGGCGGAGGGAACTGCCGTGTCGGTGGACGCGCTCCGTCGCTTTCAGTGGGATGGTGTTAAGCGAAAAGGTGAAATTTATTTACTTTTCACCTTAATTTCCATTTTCGTTAACCTCAAAAGCTTCGACATTTACAAAAATATTTTTTCTATGTGCAGAAATATGATAGCTACTTTAAATGTAATATATTCGGTATTTAAATGAACACTATTTTTTTTATTAAATGTCATTCTTATAAATATAATCTATATAAATTAGAATCGCTGAAAGGCAGCTGGACATTGGTCAAGTATTTTTTATATTTATTCCTTGAACTCTGAGGAAGGTTGATGAGAGAAAAATTGGAATCAAAGACTAAGTAAAAAATCATTTTAAGGCAAAACGAAGTTCGCAGGAGTAGCTAGTGTATAATATTAGTACTCATCATTTCTTGTATCCTATCTATTTATAAAATAATAGAAAAGATAAAAATATAAAGTAATGGAATTCGAATTAGAGATGTTTACTATAATCTCGATCTCTGACCCAATTGCTCTCCACCCCTCCTGGATTTTGCGGTCCACAATTTCAACTTGGAATTCAGGCAGAGTTTCGCTCGTTATATCATTAACACTCACTGCGCTGCCAAGTGATGCTTTTACTTCATTTTCTTACTGAATTCATATTCTCTGAAAGAAAAACGTATCTTATTTCCGCAACTTTTTCTCTCTCAAAAATCTCATTTTGATGATAAGATTTTTTAATTTAACGAACTGCTTGGAAAATCGGCTAACTTTAAAAATGGCTTAAATGTTTCTTTTAACACGTTATCTTTCGCGTTACATTTAGTGTATAACGTGTATTTCGTTTAGGTTAATTTCAGAATATTTTGCGCTGCTTTTCATAGGATTATTTTTTAAACAAATAACGTTTTACTTACTTAAGTGTTTTGAGTATTTTGTCTTAAGACTTTTTTTGTGTAAAACTCACCACCAATGTATAAGTTAAACCTTTTGCAATAAGCAATCCGCTTTGTCACCGAGCAAATAAATAGTCATGGTTCATTCAAATTAGCCTTGAGGCCAGATTGTACAATAAACAATGTGGAGTTATGTATAATATAACGACGATGTCTTAGGTAAGAAAGTAGATCATTTAGTACAATAATTAAAAGGCTCGATCCATTTATACAAAAAATTATGTAAAGTCTTTAAAAGTAAAAGAAAATGGCTCTATCCTTGGTTAATTGCATGTATTACATGCGCGATTTATTGGGTAGCCACAAAGCCAAAACTGATAGTTAATTAATAAATACATAAAACACTATCACTCAAGGTTTGCAATACTGTACATTTCTATTTGTTGGTAATACGAAACATATCTATTGGGTCTGTACAAAACCAGACCAGTGGCGCAACAACCTTTTAGAGACCGTCAGATATCTGTATCAGTGTCGTGATCTTTTGTTTTGTCTAATAGGTTAGTAGGTGATTAGCTTTCTGTGCCTGACTCACGCTGGTGACCTTTTACGTCTAAGCCCTAAGGCATGCCGGTTTCCTCTAAATGGTTTTTGTGTAGTTAAATGCGCACATAGACAAAAAGTTATTTAGTGCACAACCGGGGTTTCAGGGATGAGAGGTTTCAGGTCAGGGATGAGAGTCGCACTCTAAAACCGCTAGGCCAATACCGAATAGTCATGGCGGGTACTATGAAATTTAACGTGAGAGAATGAGACTAAAATGGTGCTTCTAAACAATTACCATTTTTGGTACGACCCTTCACAGTAGTATGACTTATATCTATAGAAAACATGCTGTGAGAAAACGTAGAGGCGCTTGTGCGCGCAGAACCATTTTTTAGCCACATAAGATTACATTTTATCTTTATATTCTTCAGAATCCCCATTAAGAACACAAAATTAATCTATGTATGTACCGTATTGTATACGAAACGATAGTCTATCGATCCCTACTGGGGTTATGTCAAATACTAGGTACCGATACAATTTATGACCACACATAATCGAGGTCAATCTTTTGTTAGTTTACCCGAAAAACAAGGAAATCCTTGAGAATATCCTCGAAGGATTATTTATGTATTTAATGTTCTACGAATATAGTTCAATATAGTAACAAATATACCTTAAAAATTATATGATTTATAAAATTGCTGGTAGAATTAGAGTGCTAAGTATTATGAGTTCGCAACACATTTAAATAGTTTCGTGACAGTAATTCACTCACACGTGTCAGCCAGATTTTCTGGGTTTGATGTCCGACGAAACAATAATTGTTTTGGGTTAGCGCAGAATACTTATTAAATGACCAATTAAATTGATATAGAAACGAGACAACAGTACTATTTTTAATCGTTTAAAAAGAAAATTCGGTTTATTGTGGCTCAGTTTTATGAAGCCTGATTTCTTTAAAATCGATATAAAGTTTGTCAGATATGTAATAACCTTAAGAAATAATATGTACTAAAACCTTTACAGATACCTACAGGTTACACCAAGATATATTAGCAGCTGATTATTTGAAAGTGTCAAAAAATTTATACTCGAGAAAACAGCCAAAAAAATTACCCTTCATTCTCTTTTGTCATTGTAATGTAGGTCAACATTTAGATTAATTTCAGTCTTATCATTTAACGTGTAAGGCAAGAAGGGATTTAAAAGCGGGTTTCAGTTACCCTAAAAGGTTACATTAAATATGGTAAATAATTCATCTTGATATGCCGCCTAAAAGCAAAGTTATCTTATATACCGAGTGCAGTACCGGTGTGAATAACGAGAACTAGCTTTTATCGTTCTCTTTTCTAGAGCTTGAGTTTTGTTTGTAAATAAAAATATTGTATATGGTTTTATGTGAAAACCCTTGCGTGAAAAAAGTGTCCAAGGACCTTTGATAGACGTTCATCGTCCCTCAGACTTAAAGTCGAAATATTTCTTTCCAAAGAGAGTAAGAGCAAACCAAAAAAAGCATAAAACTCGATTTCAGAATCCCCATTTAGAACACAAAATTAATCTATGTATGTACCGTATTGTATACGAAACGATAGTCTATCGATCCCTACTGGGGTTATGTCAATTACTAGGTACCGATACAATTTATGACCACACATAATCGAGGTCAATCTTTTGTTAGTTTACCCGAAAAACAAGGAAATCCTTGAGAATATCCTCGAAGGATTATTTATGTATTTAATGTTCTACGAATATAGTTCAATATAGTAACAAATATACCTTAAAAATTATATGATTTATAAAATTGCTGGTAGAATTAGAGTGCTAAGTATTATGAGTTCGCAACACATTTAAATAGTTTCGTGACAGTAATTCACTCACACGTGTCAGCCAGATATTCTGGGTTTGATGTCCGACGAAACAATAATTGTTTTGGGTTAACGCAGAATACTTATTAAATGACCAATGAAATCGATATAGAAATGTCTCCATGCTCCATTAGGTCGAGACAACAGTACTATTTTTAATCGTTTAAAAAGAAAATTCGGCTTATTGTGGCTCAGTTTTATGAAGCCTGATTTCTTTAAACTCGATTTCTTTAGTATCGATATAAAGTTTGTCAGATATGTAATAACCTTAAGAAATAATATGTACTAAAACCTTTACAGATTCAGGTTACACCAAGATATGTTAGCAGCTGATTATTTGAAAGTGTCAAAAAATTTATACTCGAGAAAACAGCCAAAAAAATTACCCTTCATTCTCTTTTGTCATTGTAATGTAGGTCAACATTTAGATTAATTTCAGTCTTATCACTTATCGTATAAGGCAAGAAGGGATTTAAAAGCGGGTTTCAGTTACCCTAAAAGGTTACATTAAATATGGTAAATAATTCATCTTGATATGCCGCCTAAAAGCAAAGTTATCTTATATACCGAGTGCAGTACCGGTGTGAATAACGAGAACTAGCTTTTATCGTTCTCTTTTCTAGAGCTTGAGTTTTGTTTGTAAATAAAAATATTGTATATGGTTTTATGTGAAAACCCTTGCGTGAAAAAAGTGTCCAAGGACCTTTGATAGACGTTCATCGTCCCTCAGACTTAAAGTCGAAATATTTCTTTCCAAAGAGAGTAAGAGCAAACCAAAAAAGCATAAAACTCGATTTCAGTGCAGGTTTTCGCTCGTAATTTTGTAATTAGGTATGTGGGTTACAGGTGTCGGATATCGTGTTTGAACTCAGAAATTCGATTTCGCGTGAACATGTAAACAGAGAATAGGCAGATTAAATATAGAATCGGTCTGATATTGACAGCTCCTGATAACATCCTCTCTGATAACGCAATTTAAATAGGAACAAGACTAGGATAACGATGTTATCGAGGATGTTTAACGGTCATTGTCTTAAACAAACCAAGCAGGACTTTATTATATACTAAAGTTATTTTATTTATATTTTCAATTTTATACATTTTGATGCTGACATGTATACAATATATAGCATTTACTGGTGAAAGTTGATTCAAACCTGCATGACATACAACCACTGAATCGTGAGTGCCTCGTGAACCTCAAGAAAAAAGGCTGTCACGTCCCTCTTCTAGTTGTTTTTACTACGGTCTTCTAATCTATATAGTAGAATAGTAGTTTTGTAGATTTATTTGCAAATAAACCTCATTACATATGGCGAAGGCCGGGGGTGAATAATTTTACATATTACGTTTAAA